TTGAGCCTCCATGCTTATCTACAGCGTAGCAGGGGGTCTCAGGAAAACGTTTTGTCACAGAATTGGGACGTGTTCTGAATTCATGAATAATCAATTTCAAAGAATATGTTTTTATAAGTACTGAAGGATCTCCTTGACCTAATTAGTAAAAGGAAGTGGTCCCCCTGTAATGTCTTCTACACATTTGCTTAAAATATCTGTATCATATCTCGATCCACAGTGATTCACCATGAGGGGAAATCAAATTAGTCTTCAACACCTACAGTACTTAAATAATCCACGGCATGCGAGCTTTGACAAGAAAGCTCACTAAAAATATCCACAGTCGTTGCTTTATCTGATAATATAGTTCTGCTTTTGTCAGACGTCTTGGACAGTGTACAGTTATTTTTGATGCTTCGTCTGTCAGCCTGTTGAAAGTTATACTCTGAAAATGACAAAGTTACCTCTATAGAAAAACAGCTTCATTGCATACAATTTTATAAGAAACTTTCGAGTTCACATATAATTTAAAAGCTAAGAAATTTCAATGTTTCATTTATTCATGTCAAACGTCAACATACATTTTCATAACTGTGTGTTCACAGAAGGACTCTCCATTTTTAATATATTCGATCAGTGCATATTATCTATTCAAGATATATTACTAAAGTCAGGTACTCTTCACACAATTGCTCCGAAGAAAATAGTTCCATTCATGATCAGTAGATACAACATTACAACAAATATTAAGAATAATGATGTATATTTAATACGTTAAAGAAAACAAAATTAACATTAAAAGATTTTAAGAAAATCACTTTTTCCCCAGAAAAGCAAATAAAAAGTTTTCATATTCCTACGCTCGCTGCCTCCTCAGTCTTTTTCACGAAAATATATAGGTCACACTTCGATTGATAATTATAAATCTTTTCACCAATTATATTACTGTCATGATTATTGTTCGTTAATTGCCGTATATTTTCTTTTGAGTTAGAATGTAAATCATTAACTGTGTGTTTTTTCTCTCTTTTTTTAAATAACGGAATGGTTATTATGGTTAAACACTTTTCGGCAAAGCAACGTGATTTTCCGAGCTCGGAAAGATCTTCGCACGTGTGTAGACCTAGGCTATTTGGTCTTGCAAGAACAGGTGTGTGCACCGTTCCCTAGTGACGCTTAGATCAGTAGACTGGGTATCAGTACTTGCTACAGACATAAAGAAGTTTAGAACTATACACCAGTTTCATAACAAGTGCAGGTTTTTACTCAAGGTGAAGCCGTAGACATGGTAGACTGGGCTGGAGGGGCTGAGTTATGGTCATCGATCTAACACGAAAATGTACTATTTTTGTAAATAAAAACATTTCTAGAAACAAAAATGGAAGTTTATCTTCAAAACGTCTGTATATTCAAAATCAGTATATGGTGGAGGAATATTCAGTGATGCTCCATAGCCGCAACCGATCTCGCGCTTTCCTTTGCGTTTAACAACGGCCGTCAATGCATCAATGGACGAGTTCATTGATTACTCTAAAAGGTGACAGGTTGGACCATCTTTAACATCTGCCTATACTTTGAGTGATAGTACTTTTTAATAGCACAAAATTAAAAAATAAATTAAAATCTATCCTTGATAGATCTAAAGTTTTGTTATTTATGAAAATGGGCTATCTTTGATAATCCATAACGGCTTGGACTTGTTTTGATTTTTTTTTTTTTTACAGAAGATTCTATCATTGGAAAGTTAGATGGTACACATGTAGCACAGGCCCATAGTACGCGGGATTTTTTGGGAGTCCCCCCCCCCCCCCTTTCACTTTGAAAACGTTGCTATAGGCCTGTAACATGCTATTTGGATTAAATATTCCTGAAAATGAGTGAGGTGTTAAATACATTTTTAAAATTATACGATTAATTATATTTAGTTTATGTTCTATGTGAAATTAAAACTATTTTTATGCATGTGCAACTTTGTGATAAAGTCACTACATGCATGTAACGTTATATATGTACATTCAGTTTGTTTCCTACTATATGCATATTTTATTCAACAAAAGATGTAGAAACTCAGTAGCCTAAATATTATGTCATTTTAGGATATTTATGTATATGGCACTTTTATAGTTGACTTTCTACAGCTTGAGTATCTCTGACGTTTTGTCAGTAAATACTTGTTTTTTTTTATTAGAAATCATCTGAACACAATGAAAATTCGAATAAATTAAAAGTCGAATATCTTGGATATGGGGTAACCCATATCTATTCTTGTTAATCACTGTATTGTCCTTTTAAATGTTTATTTTAATGTCCTACTTTTATCTTCTATTTGCATGACAATATGCCATACATTTGATACTAAGCTTCACTGATATCATTGTAAACAGTGCATATGTATTTAAATATGCAACTTGCATGTCGAAGGGTGATCGAATTGCTGGAAAACTTATTAATTTCTTATCATTCGTGTCGTCTGTACCACTACTTGTCGTGTGGATCTATGGGGTTGCTAATTGTCTTCCGTGCCCGAAGCCTGTCTTTCGTGGTATTTGGAAGCGAAGTTGCGTGACTTATCGAAAATGACACAATCTGTCAGCGACGCGCCAATCCCCGTGCTAAGTGACCGTGATGCCGACTTATCTAGGAATCTTTTTTCCCCGTGCATATGCCGTATACATTACATAGTAATATGTTCAGAACAAACACATAAGTAAATGTAATCCCAGACTTACCCTTAATATATATCGGCCTGTGCACCGGGCCTCTGGGTCACTTTTTTTACGCCTTTAATAAGCGACTTCTAATTCTCAACCAAAATTTTACAGTAGTACCAGAACCTAGCACCGTAACGCCACAATTTAGTCCTTTCTTTTACCAAAGAGCTAAAATGTAGTGCTTGTAATGATAGATAGTCATACATCTCAAAAATTCTAGTATTGATGATTTCTACAATTACATGAGGTCACACTGAGATCTGAAAGTTCAATTACTCAGTAGGCACGTTGTATCGTTTTTCAAAGCAACCAAAAGAAACACACACACACCCCACCAGCAACAAAGAAATGTATGAAAAAGTATACATAAATTGCCCCCATTCGTTGTACAGCCTACAAATATTCTGAATGTTGAGCTCACTCTATTGGTGTTTGACTAGTACTTTCCACCGTAATTATTATGCATATAGTTTTTTACGGGTATGTGTAAAACACGAAACGAGAAACGAGAAACAACGGAATAAAAAAGTAACCAATGACCTCAAAATGTCAACCAAGAAGCAGTTTTTGCCTTGATTTTATTTTGTTAGAAAATAGATGAGTGAAATTAAAACATCTAACTTAGGTCAGATTTATCAGCGAGCCCGCACAGCTTATTCTAGTCTTGACAGATTTAATTAGATATCAACAAACTGACAAGTACATGATTTAATAACTGGTAAGAGACATATCACCTCATATTACTATCTGATTGTTATATAATCAAAGAATAAACAAAACATTTAATAATATATTTCAATATAAAATACATATGTAGTATTAGGAAACCTATTATTATAACATCGACATTAAATTTCACCTATAATATTACCAAAATTACTAAATCACAAATATTTTCATGGAATTATGGTAGTAAAAAAGGTAATGATCTGTAATAATTGCTTCTTTTTTGACAGAAGTATAGTTAGAATTCTGACATATTAACATAGAAATTTGAACCATTATAGAGTACCCCAGCGGAAATACATTCAAGTAGTTTATTATCACTAAAGGATCATTTGATGACAAATTTATTATCATAAACAAAAATTGAGTAAGAATTTCTTTCAGATAATAGTATTTTATTAATTAAATCTGTCAACATTTTATATTTTTTCTGTGTGAGATAGGGACCCGCTGATAAATCTGACTTCAGTAAGATGATTTCATTTCACTCTGCATCTGTTATGCAACAAAATGAAAGCAAAACCGCAAACTGTCCCTCTTTGTTGACATTTTAAGGTCATTTGATATTGTATGCTGAATCTCATTCTATTGTTTCTCGTTTCACGTTTCTTGTTTCTTGTTTCGTGTTTTACACATATCCGTTTTTTACGATGTACATGCATGTAGATGATTTAAAAAAAATATATGGCTAATTTAACCCACCCTTTCTTCAACTAAACCTCTCTAATTTAACAAAATTGAATTTCACAGTATAGACGACCTATTGCTTAAAATGATGTATATTTATCTAAAACTTAGAATTAAAACACTGAAGATTTTTATGGATTGGATTATGAATTACATGTATATATACACCCTAGTATTTTAGAAGTTTTTTTTTTTTTTTTTGAAAAAAAAGTTTGACACGCACGACGACATCCCTCGGTATAGGTCACCCGAATCATTCAGATGTCGTAAGATTTCAAATATATCAATAAAATTTGCTTCGTGGAGATGAACATGTAGTACATGTATAAATTGCTGTAAATTGGAACTTAGGTGGTGAGAGTAGAAATCATTCTCTAATCCAAAATCGTTGTCCAAGAAGCAATGACGTCATTGCTTCCATATATTCGCAGAAGTAATATACTATCTTATATATTTTAATCTGTTTGCAGTTTTCAAAGCATAGATTTTTTCACCTCTCCAGGTAATGACATAACGAAAAGAAAACAAGGACTTAATTAAAAAAAATAGATTTATGACCTTCACTGATTTTCTATGACCTTGTTTTTCTCGGATACAGTTCAACTTGCGACATCTGTAATTTATTACACAAGGGATGCAACAGTAAAACATCTAAAAAAAAAAATAACTTCAACTCAGCGGAAATCGATGGTTGATGAAAATAGAACTACTGGCTAAGTACCAATTATCTATGGCTGTGACGTCATTTTGAACATCGAAACGATTTGTTTCCATGGCGAGAAGAAAATTGGGACACACACGGCAAGGTTCTCACACGTTTCGATAGATTTTTTCGTATTGATTTTCTGTTTTGAATACAGTTTCTTTTTACAAGATATGGACCCCCTTTCTGACTTTAATGCTAGGTTATTGATGTTCCTGTCTGTGTTCCAAGTTCATATCAGGGGGAATCTGGAAATCGCGTTCCTGTCACGAACGTGAAATGACATAAAGACACGCAAGTGAACGCGATTTAATTAATTCTGTGCAAGGAAATTTGTTTGCGGCACGAACTTTCTCCATTTTTATCAACACAATTTTTCCGATTTTCATGTCGAGGCATATAATTCACGAATACACCAATTACTGCATGTAAATTTCTATCCCGGGACATGGTATTGTTGGTATAGAATGTAACAGTTATCGCGTGTTGGCCTGTTGTTTAGGAAGAAAATTGCCCGTCTTGAGCAGTTTAAATAAAAGCCACCTTCGGTGAAGACGTGTCATTTTGATTTAAAGCATATCATAACAAAATACGCCTGAGCCGATTTGATAATTATGCGATCTTTAGTCACCTAGAGATGAATGAATAGCCGAGATATTTTGTAAGTTTGCGTGACGCTGTATTATTTTTGTCCTGATGTCTCCATCGGATCTCCTCGCTAGTACATTTGGAATCCAATTACAATTGCGTGCAAGGGCTTTATGGATGGGTTTTCCGGTGAACAACGCATTGTGCAGGGAGAAGTATAATGTGTCTATCAGTAGAGTAACTGTCGACTGTGCAAGCCTGATTGAGTTTTAAGTATTGGGAAATCCGCATGCGCAAGAATGCTCTGTATTGTTGATTTTCAAGTGGATGGCGGTTTTGTTGACATTCGTGTGTATGATGTGATAGAGTGTTGACGTATAAAGAAAACTAAGTTACTTGCCTTGGGATACATTGTTTTTTTACATTCCATTTAGTGAAATTTTAGACAATGTCGATGCCTCATCGAACACAGAGACAGCAATGCTACTTGTGCGATTTACCCCGCATGCCATGGGCAATGCTGCATGACTTTTCCGAACCCGTGTGTCGAGGATGTGTCAACTATGAAGGAGCAGATAGAATAGAAATGGTGCTGGAGAGTGCACGGAGTATGAAAAGGTCACATGGATTCCACGAGAGTCGTCAGTCTATGAAACACCATGGGCTGCCACCCCAGAGGACTGCAATTGACCAGCACGGTTCATTGGACCACCCACGTGGTCACCCGTCTTTAGAACGGTACGATAGCCGCTCGAGAAACATGATGACTGACTATAACTCGCCGCCACAAAACCACTCAAGTGCAGTTATTCCTGCAAGAGTAGAAGACCAACTGCCGGAGCACCACCGTGGGCCTAACATTCCAATATCGTCTGCCCGGGCAGTTTCGGCAGTTTTTCCGTTACATCATCTTCCGGACCACAATGCTCGCTTTTGCGCACATCCACAAGGAAGACCCGGGTATGTACCGAACCCAAATGTCACATCAATGGGTGGCCATACTCTCCAGCACACGAAGAAACGTAGCGCAGATCATGATGAAGATGAGTCAACAAGCGGTCACCATGAAGATAACATCTTCAAATTCACGTCTCCAGAAGAAATGGCTAAGCGTCCACAGATTGTACGTGAAACAATTGCAGCATTGTCATCTGCAGTGCCATTTGAAATCCGCTTTAAGAAAGATCATCATTTTCTTGGCCGCGTTTTTGCTTTTGATTCCACATCAAAAAATGGAGTTGATTTTGAATTAAAAGTTTTCATGGAGTACCCTCTTGGTTCAGGTAATATTTACAACAGCGCATCGAGTGTTGTAAAACAAATGCATTTAGACAGTATGAAAGATGTAGGGAAAGGGTTATCTTCAGGTTACAAGTATTTGGAGTATGATATGAAGCATGGTTCAAATGACTGGAAAATTTTGAATGAACTTTTATCTGAGACCGTTAGATTCTTTAAAGAGCCAGTGAAACCAGAAATAATTCCATCTCCTTACCACAACCCTAGCTTACCACCCTTGCCGACACCAAATACAAGGCCCCATGTTCCTTTAGTCCATACCAGAAGTCAGGGCTCTCATGGATCGTTTGAGGGACAATCTAAGAAAAGAAAAGCTTCCCCTGAACCTGATAATGATTTAGGAGAACAGAGAAAGCGTCAGCAGTGGATTCAAAGCCAATCAGAAGCACTCAAAATGACCATGAATTCAACTGGGTATGCCTCTGCGGGATCTTCATCAACATCTCCCTCTAGTAACCATACCCCTACACCGCCAGATGGCACAAATATGAATGGTCCTTCGCCAATGGCAGCACTGATGAATGTCACTGATAATATTACTTCCGGTCCTGTTTCACCTAATAACCGGAACTCTCACCATTCCCCGGGTGGCTCACAAGGGCCATCTGCAAGACGAGGACCACCAATGTCTATCAAAGTTGGCACGCCATCATCGTTATTGGAAACCAATGTGCAGAGTTCAGAGACCTTAAAATGCACACTTTGTCACGAGCGTCTTGAAGACACTCATTTTGTTCAATGTCCGTCTGTGAGTGAGCACAAGTTCTGTTTCCCGTGCTCTAGGAATAGCATAAAGCTACAAGGGGCCGCTTCAGAGGTGTATTGTCCCAGTGGTAAAAAGTGTCCTTTAGTGGGGTCCAATGTACCATGGGCCTTCATGCAGGGTGAAATCGCTACAATACTTGGAGGTGATGTAAGATCAGATATGAATATTAAAAAAGAGCGCGATACGTGACTGAGATGATAAAAAAGCAGTTTTGAGTAGGAAAAAAACCGTAACCCAAAACGGTATGATTTTCTCTCCACTTACATTGTCCAAGCTTTGATTTGAATGCTGGAAGATGTTTGCGATCGATGATTTTTGAATTAAACGAATCGCCTTTTTCAAGTGTTTGAGGGAAACAAAAGTTTTTGAAAAAGGTGAAGGACGATTAGAAATTGATAGATCAAAGGAAGAGCTGATTGGGTGGAAACATGAAAGAATTGTAACTGGAAGTGTGTGTGCAGTATCACAGATTGATGTAGAAACATTTACCCATTTTTATAGGCTTTTTTGACACGCTTCCTACGTTTAAGTCAACAACAATTTATGAAAGCTTTTTCTGAACTTTTCGTGTTCAATTTACACAACATCAATTTGTTTTATTTGATAAAATTTTATTACGTCTTTGTTATCAAGCTTTTTAATGCGTCCAATTTGCAACTTTCAAATATGTGATGGTACCTCCACGATTACACATGATGGAAGAGCACGTGTTAGTACTTCGACGAATACACATGTACTTTTTGTCGTGATGGATGTTTTGTTTTTTAATTTGTTATTGTTATGTATGTTTATTATTCGTGAATACAAAAAAGTTACAATGGCATTAAATTCTGACTTCTGGTTTTATTTAATTTGCAATTTTATTAAATGAGAAACATTAATATTCTTCACGTGTTTGTGAAATGTCGTCTGCACAACCGTCCATTGACGAAACGTCTACGGCCTTTTCATGAATTTTGCAATAGTATCCTATATTTATTATTGTTTGTTATTTCAAGGAGACGCGTTTTCTTTGTTGCAATTTAAACAATATTAAGAGCCTACTTGAACCGTCAGAGTTAGTTATGCATTTCATAGTTTCTCAAAAAAAGCTTCATGTTTATATAAAAGGAAGTTACTCGAGCCGCGATGTCGAGACGACCCTTCCTTTCTCATGCATTACAAGGTTCCAGATTTACTTGTATTTCGGAAAAAAATACCTTCTTTATGAATCGGAAATGAGCAATGAATGTTTAGTGCATATGAGTCGTGCGGCACTGCCTCTTTGAACTTCTCGGTAGAAGATTGTAAGAATACTTCTCGGTAGAAGATTGTAAGAATAACATTTATTTTTTTAAAAAAATCGAGTGAAATGGAAGAAAAATGGGGTCTTCCCTAAAGAAAAATACAGATTTTATTAACGATTCAATATCAAAAATAAAAATTTCTTAAAATCCACAGGAACAAAAGAATTTGTATGTCTTTTAATAGAGATTAGCAGACCAATCTCGCCACAGATGTACACTTCGCCGGAGTAGTGACGCACAGTACCGATATTTATTTTGGACAATCTGAGTCATAACATTTTGTCAACAGAGGAGCGCGAATTTGTCGTCACGTCCCTTGACGATTAAAATATTTGATGGATGGGGTAACTTTTACAGTGGTGGATTATTATAAGTTTCTACGTCATTAATAAAGGAATTGCTATTAACTCATTATACATGTACACTTCACATTATATTTTTACGCTAGCATTGATATTTAGCTCACCCGAGTCAAAGGCTCATTTTTTTCAGAGTTTTTCCTGATGAAAGAGCATATATCGATAAGGCCGCTCGGCGGCCCACTTATTTTTATAAAAATAATTTTTTTTCTTCAAAATTAGTTTAGAATTCAAGATAAATATGTTAACTTTTGTTATTTGTATTTCAAATGTTAATTTAAGATGAATTCACACTATAGTTGATACATACCGGGTACCTTTAACGCGTTAACATTAGTCTTACGAGGGTGGCATTCATAAATCGATGTCTAGAATATGAATTTTACCCAGTTACTAGATATACACCTCACTCATATCTTAAAATATGATGAGTGTCGCATATGCACTTCATATCCGAAAATTGCATTAAATTTGCATATCTAAAATGGGAAGTACCTGGTTACTTGATCTGACTCGATGTTAAAATACTTAGTCAAAAGTAGCGTATCTTTTTCCAAATTAAAGAATATTTTCGATCTTCTCGATACTTATTCATCGCCAGTGTGTAACGTTAACGTCACATTTTTAGCTCACCTCAACGAATTCGGAGGAGTTTAGGTAATAACGGTGTCGGTGTTGGTATCGGCATACAAAGTTTTTAAGATTTCTTTCGAAATATACAGGCGCGGATTCAAGGGGGGGGGGGGGTCCGTCCCAGTCAAAAAATTCCATTCAAACCCGGAAATTTCTTGGACAAGCCAAAAAAAAAAAAAAAAAAAAAAAACCTAAACTCCTTTTGCAAACGTATCAAAACCCAGACAATTTCTTGACAAGAAAAGATTTTTTTTAAAAAGAACGTAAAATCCATTTCCTATTGTAAAACCTATTTTGTGGTGATGATGGTGGGGTGCACATTTTCTAGGGGTCCATTGTCATTTTTATGCCCTGCCATGAATATGGTCGGGACATATAGTGTTTGTCATGTCCGTCTTCCGTCCTTCCGTCGCGCTTTGCGTTAGCTCAGTTCAAAGCTCAGTTTCAAAGAAATTATCCAAGATATTTTTATCAAACTTCATATGCTGATAGATATTGATGCGAGCTATGCAACTGCATCAACATTTTTTGACCTTGACCTTTCCTTTGACGTTGACCTCACTTTTCCTAAATTAGTGTTTAGCTCAGTTTTTAAGATACCATTCAAGATAGTGTAATCAAAACTTCATACATTGTATATTGATACATACTGATGTAAGCTTTTCAACTGCATCAACATTTTTTGAGATTGACCTTTCTTTTGACCTTGACCTCACTTTTCTTAAACTAATTGTTTATCTCAGTTTTCAAGAAACCATTCAAGATATTTTTATCAAACTTCATTTGCTGATACATACTGACGAGAGCTATTCAACTGCATCAACATTTTTTGACCTTGACATTGCCTTTGACCTTGCCCTCACTTTCCTTAAATTAGTGTTTAGCTCAGTTTTAAGGAAACCATTCAGGATAGTGTTATCAAACTTCATATGCTGATACATACTGATGAGACCTATTCAACTGCATCAACATTTTTTGACCATGATCTTTCCTTTGACCTTGACCTCACTATTCTTAAATTAGTGTCAAACTTCATATGCTGAAACATATTGATGTAAGCTATTCAACTGCATCAACAATTTTTACCTTGGCCTTTCATTTGATCTTGACCTTACTTTTCTCAATTTGTGTTTAACTCAGTTTTAAAGAAACCATTCATAATATTTTTATCAAACTTCATATGTTAATACATACTGATGTAAGCTTTTCAACTGCATCAACATTTTTTGACCTTGACTTTTCCTTTGACCTTAACTTCATTTATTTTTAGTTAATGTTTAGCTCTGTTTTGAATAAACCATTCAAAATATTTTTATCAAACTGAATATGCTGATATGTTTTTGTGAGAACTATTTAACTGCATCAAAAATGTTTGACCTTAAATTTCTTAAATTTGCATTTTGCTAAGTTTTAAAGAAATCATTTAAGATATATTTATGTAAACTTATGCACTTATACATAATTTGGTGAGAATTTATCATCTGTATCCAACTTTTTAGATTTCAATTTTAAAGAAACAATTCAAGATATTTTCATCAAATTTCATACACTAATACAAATTTTCATGTTGCATTACTAATATAACCTCGGCGGGGCATTCATGTCCTATGGACATATTTCTAGTTTATTTGTTTCATTATATACTTTTAATAACTTTACAAGTACCGGGGGGGGGGGGGGGGGGGGGGGCATCTAGATCTGCACATGAAGTACATTTATGCCCTATATTAACCAGAGTTGCCTGCATAGTGCATATAGTGTGTTTCCTTGTCACCAGTCAGGTTTCAGATGCTGCATTTTCAGCCAAAGAATGTTCAGGCAAATTATAAAGTTTTTGGAGCAGAGTGACTATAAGCTCTTGTTGACCAAACTTGGATAATGCATCTAGGGATGCACATGTACCAGACTCTTATTATGTTATGTTACATTATCATTCTTATATAACTATAAGCCCTGTCATGACCAAACTTGCACAGATGATGCATCAAGGGTTGCACAATACCAGCTAAATCTTACATTTTCTGGATGATTGGACAGAAAAAAAGTTTTTGAGTAAGTCCATTCCATTAACATTATTTTTCATTTTTATAGCCTGCAAAAAAAGTTACTTAAGCCTTTCTTTTGAATAGAAATCCTCACTCCAACCTGCTAGAGAGGTTCCTACATACATGTATATCTCCTTGTGAGTTACAGAGGAAATGATTCTGCAGGATTTAGGATCCCACACATATCTTTGGCATTTACACATGTATTTTGAACTCACAGTGGCTCTGGTCCAGCAAATCAAATGCTTGATTTAGTCATACTGAAACTCTCTAATTGAGAATTGAATAGAGATGCAGTCAAACCTCGTAATCTTGAACTCAATGGGACCAAGAAAAAACTTCAAGATATCTGGGGATTTGAGATATCCAGGGTAAAATACTGAATGAATATAAAGGGGTTGGGACTTCCAAATCACTTTGACATATCCATGGTATTTGAGATATTGAAGTTCAACTGTATATGAGTATCTATGGAGAGCTGGGTTTTCTTCATTGTTTTCTTGCCAATTGAACTTGAAATAATATAAACTTATATACTGTTCTGATCAAACATAAACAAAATATAACTAACATCTTTCTTAATTTTATTTTGTGTATACCAGTAAATAGAGCTAGTTACTTAAAAAAATATGTCAAAAAAATGTGTATTTTTATACGATTAACCACTTAATCGGTTGGAACGTCTTGCAGTTAACCCATTGGCAATTCTGTATTTGATTGGCATCCCCATTAAAAATAGAACTATTCCATTAATCAGAATGCTACTCTTGTTGCAGTTCTGCTTCATTTAAATAAATCTTGATAAATCTGTCGATGGCATTAATTAAGTATTATTTTGAATTGATACTGATCCTAAAAGTTGCCTTGAATTGAAAAAAAGAAACTTGATT